CTGAGCTGAAGGCAGATGCTTAACCAACTGAGCCACCCAGGTGCCCCGAGATAGACTTTTCAAACCAATTAAAGCACAAAATAGATCAGACACCTGTCATATCAATAAATGTAAATGGGCTAAAACATTCAAAAATTTTTAAAAAGCCATTCAGATTGTCTCACCAAGCTTAATCCAGCTCTATGGTATATGAGTCACATCTAAACCGAGTAATTTAGAAAGGTTGAAATGAAAAGATTGGTAAAGTTTCAAGGAAAATGTGAATCAAAAAAGCAGAGGTTACCATCACATTAAGTATGGCCAAGAAAGATGCAATTCACTACAAAGATTTGCAGTGTTACTATCTCTGTGTTAAATGACATTGCACCACCATGCCTAAGGCCTGGTGTAAGGCCACAGCTGTAGATGCTGCCAGAAGAGACAGACTGGGAACAGGGGAGTAGTACGTGCCTCATTCATTTCTCCATCCATGACAGGTAAGCAAGGATGTAGAAGACATAACTAACACCATTAATGGGGGAGACATAATTTGTATACCCCACACTCTGAATCCCCAAAATAACCACACTTCTTTCCAAGTCCCATTTGAAAAGTCACAAAACTCACAAAACCTGATTACACCACAAAGAAAAATTTAAGTCCAAAAAAGTAGAAATCACAGACAACATTCTCTGATCATAATGCATTGTAACTCGAGAGAATGAATTACAAAAGCACCTACTACCTGAATGGATAGGTGGAATTCAAACGAGCCTTAGGTCAAAGAAGAAATCAAAACCAAATCATGAGAGATTTAAAAAATGATAAAAATACCTTCTATTGGAACCTATAGGATACAACTAAAGCAGTGCTTGGAGATTTCATGGCCTTAATATTTTTTTCTTTTCTTGTTTATCAGTATGAAGAAATTAAGCCTCTAACTCAAATTTTTTAAGAAACAAGGAAAGTACAAAGAAGATTTAAATACAAATAAAAACAAAAATTAATAAATTAGAAGCCGGAAAAGGGTAATTACTAATAAATCTCAAAGATGGATCTTTGGGAAGGGGAGGTTGGTAACCTCTTAGCTAACTAACTATCCTACTAATCAAGAAAAATGGGGAATGGGGTTGGGGAGGGAAGCACAAAATATACAAGAAATAAGGATGAAATAGTCATTTAAAAACGGTAAATTAATTTGTTCAACCTCATGCAAGTAAATTTGACAGCTGGATAGAATGAATACTTTTCTAGACAGACATAATTTACCAAACTCATTCAAGGAGCAGAATAATTATAACATCAATTATTACAGAAGAATCAAAGCGCTCCCACCCCAAAGAAAGGCACTGGCCCAGACTATTTCATGGAGGATCAACTAATCTTTAAAGAACAGATAATCCATTTCTACTTAAACTATCACAAAGCATAGAGAAAGGAGGGAAGCCTCCATTTTCTTTATGAGGCAAGCATAACACTGATCGTGAAACCCAACAAAAATTGTTCCAAAAAACTGAAAACTAATCTCACAGATGAAATTGCAGCAAAACCCCTAAGTAGACAAGCCAATCCAACACTATATTGAAATAGTCACCATGACCAACTGGGATTCAACCAGGAATGCAAGGATAGTTTGATGTAAAGGGATCTTCTATCTTTACTCCTATTACATGATTAAAGGAAAAAAACATTGTCTTCATAGACACTGAAAAGGCTTTTGGTAAGCTTCAACTTCCATTCTTAATTTTTTAAAATTCTTAATAAAACAGGAATACTTGGACACTTATTTAACCTGATAAAACATCTGCCCCTGAAACCAGCATTTTGCATGATGGGGACATCCTAAAAGCTTCTCATTAAAGTCAGGAATGAAGCAAGAGTGTCCATTATCACCATTATTTCTCATTGTTCCAAGGATCACAGCCAACACTATTAAGTAAGACAAAGAAATTAAGGTATAAAACTTCCAAAGTAGGAGGTAAGGTTATCATTTGCACATGATAAAATAGAGTAACTGGAAAATCCAAGAAACCAAATTGAAAAACCATTACAAACAATAAAAGAATTCAGTAAGGGCAGGACTTAATAGCCTTTATATAAATAACCTCCATTTCAGGAAGAAAAGACTAGCCAAAAAAAAAAAAGGGATAACTACCCAGAATTAAACTTTTAAAATATGCAAGATCTAGATGAAGCAAATATTAAAACATTCCCAGAGACACAGAAAAGTCTGAACAAACTGATGGTCCTGGAGGGCATCAACATAAAAAATAGTTTCTCCCTGAATTATAAATTTCATGCAATCCCAGAAAAAACAGGATTTTTGTTCTTACCCAGATGAGTTGATTCTATAGTTCAGGCAGAAAAATAGCCAATTTCCACTTCTAGGAATTTAGGGTGGGGGCCTAACAAGGAACAACAAGCACCACCAAATATTAAAAGGGGTTATGTGCATGATACAATGCAAATGAACCTTGAAAACACGATGCTAAGTGAAAGAAGCAAGTTGCAAAAGACCACATGCTATAGGGTTCCCTTCTTAGGAAAGTCCAGAATAGGGTATAGGGTTTCTTCTTGCGGTGATAAGAATGTTCTAAAGATGACTGGGGTGACGGATGCAAAATTCTGTAATTATACTAAAAAACCTTAATTGTACACTTCACATGGGTGGGTTTTATGGTATATGAATTCTATTTCAATAAAGTTGTTAAAATTTTTAATGTATTATAACTCCGTAACAATTAAAACAGCATTGCCCTAATGACTTGCATATGCTTGAATCCATACCTTACACTTTATACCATGTATTTAAAAAATTAAACCATAAAAAAACTAGAAGCAAGCCTGGGGAACTTTAAAAAAAATAATCTCAGCATGAGGAAGGACATTCTAAGTATGACACAAAATCCAAAGGCCCTAAAAGTAAATACAGATTTCACTTCACAAAGACATGGCAGAATCAAAGACAAATGATAAATTGGGGAAACCATATGCAATTCAGATGACAGAGGTCTAATTCCGCAATATACAAAGAGTTCCTATAATTCAATAAGGACAAAAAGCCACCCAATTGAAAAAACGGACCAAGGAGATGAATAAGTTCAAAGATAAAACAAATGGTTCCAACATGAAAAGACAGTCATCCTCATTCATGTTAAACTTAAAACTACACTGTGATCCTACTTTCACTGATGAGGTGAACCAGCCTAGAAGACTGATACCATGCTGTGATGGTGACAGTGTGGGCAAACAGGCTGTCTCACCCAGAGTCATCTCAAGATGTTCCTCAGACTACATCTATCAAAATTACAAAGGCATAGACCTTTGACCCAGTATTTCCCTTTCTAGAAGTTTATCTTGTAGATTTAGTCACCCTTGGTGACACACACTTGGTTGCGTATTGTCACACTGCTTGTAAAGACAACAGGTTGGGTCCAGTGTATACAGAGGACTGGTCAAATAAATTACAGCTCCCCCTTGTTATGGAAAACTAAGTGGCCAAAGAAGGAAGAAGCTCTTTAGATGCTGACCTATAGGATGTATGGCTAAGTGAAAAAGGGAGGTGCATGATGATGTCCCAAGGTGTGCTGGGTCATGCAGAGAACCATCTGGAAGGACACACAGGACAACACGGGCTGCCTGTGAGAAGGGGAGGAGGCAGCTATACAACAGGAATGAGATGGAGACTTCAATCTGTATACCCCTTCATTCCTTTTGTATCCTGGACCACATGAATGTACTACCTGTCTAAAGATAAACACCAGGGGCGCCTGGGTGGCTCAGTCGGTTAAGTGTCTGCCTTCGGTTCAGGTCATGAACCCAGGGTCCTGGGATCTACTCCCGCATCGGGCTCTCTGCTCAGCAGTGAGTCTGTTTCTCCCCCTCTCTCTGCCCCTCCACCTGCTTATGCTCGCTCTCTCTCTCTCAAATAAAATCTAAAAAAAAAAAAAAATTATAAACACTTATTAAAAGAAAAAGCGTAACAGTGTAAGCGCAATGATGAAGGGCAACCAATCTTGTGCTATAGGACAGCACCAACAGGGAGATAGCTGTCCCCCTACCCTTTTACTTACAAAGAGAGCAAGTGCACGCACATGAGCGGGGGGGGATGAAGCTTAAGCAGACTCCACCATGCCCAGCGTGGAGCCGACATGGAGCTTGATCTCACAATCCTGAGATCATAACCCGGAGATCATGACCTGAGCTGAAATCAAGAGTTGGACGCTTACCTGGCTGAGCCACCCAGGTGTGCCCCAATAGCTGTCCCCTTTGAAGAGACAATAATAGTTCATTTCTAACTGAGAGCTGCAGTTTAAGAACCCAGGCCTATGTTACCAGATCCTCTGATTTTTTTTTTTCCAAGAGACATTATAAATCCAGATTATTATGCAAATCTCCCTGTTTTCAAATGTTTCCAAATACTTCAAATTACAAAAAAGACCCTATGGTGGCTAAAAAAAAATCAGATCAGAGGGTTTGGTATTCCTGTCCTAGATGGTCAAGGAAGACAGACCCCTGGAGATCACCAAGTCCAGCTCCCTAATTTGACACACTGAAAAAGCAAGGCCCAGAGAGGGGAAAGACATGCCCAAGATCACACAGCAAATCGGGCCCCGAGCTGGGATATCACTGAGGACTATGTGCTTCCACATAGTCCTCTTTGCCACCAGTGCCAGAAAATCATGGTGAGTGAGACAGACATCGTGCATCGTGGGGTCCCAGGCAGAGGGTTGGGGTCAGAGGGGACTCCTGGGAAGGAGGTCACACTCCATGGGAGTCAACCAAAGGGGGTGGGTGCCGTTGTGGGGGAGGGGGTATAGCACAGCAAAGGCCTAGACCACGGAGAGCTCTGGGCAGGGCCGTGGTGGGTGGATGTTCTGGGGTTCCGGTGGCATTCCCTGCTGGGATCTGCCCCCACAAAGGCCTGAGGTGGGAAAAGCTGGGTGTGAACTCAGTGGGCAGAGGGAGGGGACAGAGACGGGGGCTGGAGAGGCATGCGCAGGGGGAGGGTGTGCACTCACACTTTCGGAGCTCCAGGCTCTTGCTCGGGCAGGCCAGGTGTTGGCCCGGTGGGTTCTGGGTCCTCTGGAGACAGGCCAGCATGGCGGAGCTGGGGGCCCGCGGTGGGGCGCACGGAGCAGCAGGGTCCCTGTGAGGAGGGAGATGAGGTACTTGTCACTTGGGCTGCTCCGTGCCCGCCTCCCACTTCCCCCGGCTACTTCCAGCAGCCTCCCCACTACCCAGCAGAACACTGGAGACTCTCAAAGCAGATACTCCTCCCTTATCTGACAGATGAGGACACTGAGGCCTAGAGACACCAAAGGAAAGAAAGGAAAAGAACCCAGATCTCGAGTGGTAGATTTCCACCACGCCGGGGCCAGAACTGACCGGTCCCACATGCCCTGGCCCTGCTCACTGTGTGGGTCATCTCCTCCAAGGGGCTGCGCCGATGCCCCCAGGCCTGGTTAGATCCTCACCCCCTACGGGTTTCCTCAGCAGGTTGCCCTTCCAGCCAGGCGTGGCCTGTGGCTCTCCTGTCACTGCTCTTCAGTTTGAGCTGAGTGGGTCTGTCCCTGCTCTTCAGTTTTGAGCTCATGGAGAGCAAAGACGCCATGTGGTCACCTTTGGAAGGTACACGGGGGTGGGGGTGGGGCGCCCAGGAACCGCCAGTAGGCGTATGGGTGTTCCAGTGTACTGAAGTGTTGTTCTGGAGCATGCTCACAGCACCCCTACAAGGAGACGTCCAGGACGGCATCCCTGGCAGAACGCGGTCCCCAACCCTGACCAGTGCTGAGCCTAAGCACTGAGCCCAGGTCCCAAGGGCCACCAGGGTTCCCAGAACGCAGAGCCCCTTGTGGGGCAAGGTGAACATGGGGCAAGGTGAACACAGGCCAGCTGGGGCCTGCCCTGGAGGCCATGAAGGGAGGGCGGGGATTTCTCTGCAGGGCTCCTCCCTTCCTCTCTTCCAGGTAAGGAGCCAGAACCAGCAGCCAGACAGCCCTGGTGCCCACCCAACCCGACCCGAACCCAGCCCCACAAGTGTCCTGAGCAGCCAAGCTGGGCCAGCTCAATCCTCCTGCCAGTTCTTAAAAAAAAAGGAAGAAAGACGGGGTGGGGGGTGTTTAAGGGGGAAGAAAGGGGAGTTATTTAATACTAAACAGGTGTCTGGAGCCCTTAAATTCTGCTGCTTTCTTCTAATAATGAAGTATTCATGAGGAAAAGCCTTTTTTCACTACTTTCTTAAGATACTAATTTCACAACAAGCTCCTTGTTACGGCGCAATTATTCCAATCTTGAATTTCCCCGAGACGGTTGCAGCCTCCTGTCTGTCCTGGCCTCTCGGTAAATGAAAGACAATCACGTAACCACCTTTCATTATGCTCTATTTTACTTTCAGCAAAGGTACCCTGAAAGAAATGATTTACTCTGAAAGGGACTTTTATTCAGTTTCAAAACCAATTTTCTCCTATTACTGTCTCAAAAAAAAGGGGGGGATGGGGAAGGGGAGTTGGTTCTCACCCCCCACCCCCACCCCCCAATCGCCAGCCTTAATGCAGCCACGATGCAGTCAGAGCTGCGCTATCCACTTCCCGGCTTTGATTTCTGGTAATTTTAAAATATGCCATTACAATCAGACAGAAATTACACAGTTTAAAAAGGGAATGAAGTGGGGTTTATTGCAGGGATGAAAGCCCCTGACAGTGGGAAGGAGGCATCACTCCTGGGGGACAGGGGACCCAGGCCCTTTAGGACAGAGCTGCACACACACTGTCCCGCTCGGACACCTGGGGACACGCGGGCAGGACGCCGTCCACGCGCACTACGTACATCTCCCGAGATGGGCACGCCGCCGCCCACCCATACCCACAGCGCCGCGCCCCGCCGCGCCCCCTGGCGCCCTCGCGTGCACATGCAGGCTGTCCACGGTCACGCGCAATTGCATGCGCGCCTGCAAGGTAAGGGGCCGGCTGCGCAGCCTCTCCCCCCGACACGCCTGCCCGGCCCCGCGTCCACCTCTCACCGCTCTGACACAGGGTGTGGGGGACAGAGGGGAGAGCCCGAGAAAGCCGGCCAGCCGCAGGTGAACGTCCTCTCCACCCGCAGATGGGAAAACCCAAGCCAGGGAGAGCTAGCACCCCGCCCAGGGCCACCCAGCAGGCAGTGGCTAGCAGTGGCTAGATGAGCCTGCCCCCTCACCAGCGGGTAGCCCCCAGGGCTGGGCTGGAAACTACATACCCCTGCCCCAATGCCCAATGTGTGACCCCAAGGGAGCCTCTGATCCCTCCCAGGTCATTATCCAACAGCGTCCTGACCATGCCCAGCACCCCCACCCCCCACCCCTGCAGGTCCTCCTCACTTCTTGTCTTTCACTTGGGTGCCAGGGGCCCAAGAAGCCTAGCCCCTGTCCAGGTCCTCCCCTGCAACTCCCCATGGGCCGCACATGCCAGCATGCTTTGCCGCTTAAAGAGGCAGGCTGGGGACTGTAATTGTTGGGGGTGAAGGGCAGGCTGCCTAATCTGGGGCCTCTCTGGACCTCAGCAGCTGCCCTCTCAGTGGGGCTCTGGTTTTCAGAGTGCTCCGATGGTGGATGCCTAAGCAGTTCTGGGAGCCGAGAGGTCACCAGCTCAGGGAGCGACAGAAGATTCCCCCAGAAGAGACAGGATCCATGTCCAGGCCTCAGCTCAGTACAACAGCCTGCATCATTTCATCACTGGCTTCTGGACTCCCCACAGCCCAAGAGACCATCTTCACTTGAAGGGGAGGGGTTTTTCTCTCTGTGCCTCTAATCCCAATTCACTGTTCATTTCCTCAGGAACCCTGTGCCCTGCTGCTGGGGCAGGTGGGGGGTCAGTGTGGGAGGGGACAGGAGCCAGCCTAGCACGGTGATGAGTGGGTGTTACCACCAGTTCCCGCATCATCCCAACCATCTACAACAGGACAGAGTCCGTCCCCCCTCCAACCCCAGAACAGAGCCCAGCTTTCTTTGCCTATCCCGGCCAGCCCTCCCAGCCCTCCCTCCAACCAGCTGCCCCACACCCCCAAACCTTTGCCCATGCTGGTCCCTCTGCCCACAGCACCGCCACCCCAGTCCATTTTAACCCAGACTCTGGCTCAGCTGTCCTTCCTCTGGGCACCCCCCACACAGTCTTAATCACACCAAGTGGTAACTGCCAATTTTCATGTCTGTCTCTTCTCCATTGGACTGTGAGTTTCTCAGGAGCAAGGACCATGTCTTATTTGTCTCTTTCTCCTGGTGCCTGGCAAAGAGTAATCATTTAATAAATAGTGCTGAATGACTGGCTGAATCAATGAATCACTTATTGTCAGACGAAGTGACCAAGGCCCAGAGAAGCCAAGCATCCTGGGAAACGTCACACAGCAAGCTGGGGACAGGAATGGGGCAGGCGCCTAAAACGCTCATGTTCTTCCCGTAACCCCACCCTGCCCCCTCTCTGCTTGGCATCATCCCATCTGCAGAAAGCCAGCTCCTCTGAGGCCCCACCCTGACTCATGACTCCCCCAGCCGGGGACCATCCGGAACGCTGCTCACTTTGAAACCCTATCTGCAAATCAGGCTGTTTATAAGCCCAAGGTCTTTTGTGACTTTAATAAAAAAAAAGGGGGTGGGGGGAGGGAGGCAGAAAATGTCGCAAGCCTCAATGATTAGAATGCTTTGGCATCATTCCTGACGTGGGGGCTGATAAGACGTCTTATCTCAGAGGCACCCCTAGGAAAAGGTCCCCTCCACCAGATAACACCCCCAGCTGTCGATATGCCCTTTCATGGCTGAGGATTTAGATAAAAGAAATGTGACAGGGGAGGGGAAAGAAAGGAAGGAACTTTCCAAGTCCGAGGAAGAATTGAGTCTGTGCTGCTTGCCTCGGCAGAACAATGCATAGGAGAAGGATGTCTAAAGGCTGTCTTTATTTTTATTAAAAGAACAGGGAATTGGGGCCTTTGGCCCTGCCTGCCTTTTGTCATCTCTCCCTGCCTGTCTGGCTGCAGGGGGCCTTGGGAAGCCCCCAGCCAGTGGGAGGGGTTGCTTACAATAACCATGCACACATTAGTACTAATAATAGCGCTGCCCATTTATCGAATGTTCCTTCTGTGCTGCGTCCCACGTGCATCCTGTCCGTTATACCTCACTGCTGCTTCCTAGCAGCCTCTGCGGTGGATTCTGTTTTTATCCCCATTTCACAGATTAGGAAATGGCCCCAGAGAGGGGAAGTAATCTGCACAAGGTCACACAGCTTTTAGGTGTCCCCCCAACCAGAGACTGCACCCTCAGCCTCACACGTGTGCGGCCGCCACCCAGGCTCCATCGTGGTGGTGGTGGGGTGCCCTCAGCCCCCAGCTCCTGGGCAGCTGGGCAGGAAGGAGCCGAGGCAAAGGCCTGCTTCTCCCCAGTGCCCAAATCCACTCTGATTCTACTCCAGCAGGGGCTGGGATCACAGGGAAGGAGGTGAGGAGGGGAAGGAGGAGGAGTGGCTCCCAGGAGACCACTTACCCATCCCATAAACATTCGCGGAGGACAGCGTGTGCGGCCTGCGCTGGGCAGAACAATACTGAGAGGACTAAACCGCAGACCCTGCCTCTGGGAGAACCCTTCTGAGGTGGCTGTCATTTACCCACCCATTCACTCGCTCATTCATTCATTCAGGCAGCAAATACTCCCTGAGCAACCTTTGAGGGCTAGCCCCGTGCCATATGCACTGTACAAAAACCAGTAAGAATGTCCTGTCCATCCTTGGGGCCTGCTTCTCCCTCTCCCTGCCACTCCTCCTGCTTGTGCTCTCTGTCAAATACAAATAAAATCTTAAAAAAAAAAAAAAAAAGTCCTGCCAATGTTCTCTTGAACATCCAGTAAGCACTGACTTCCCACTCCCAAATCCAACCCAATGAAAATGAACTTTCCTGGGGCGCCTGGGTGGCTCAGTCAGTTAAGCATCTGCCCTGGGCTCAGGTCATGATCCCGGGGTCCTGGGATCGAGTCCCATGGTGGCTTCCTGCTCAGTGGGGAGTCTGCTTCTCCCTCTGCCCCTCCCCCCACTCATGGGCTCTTTCTCTCTCTCTCTCAAAAAATAAATAAAATCTTAAAAAAAAAATGCACTTTCCTGGCTTCTCCCCTCCCCAGATGCTATTTCCCGA